CGGCTGGAATTCGTTCTGCAAAGAGTACAAAACAAAATTTTGATTTTGCACATAATGCAGATATGCGCCTCTGTACCCTAAATATGTCAATTAATTATCAAAGGCAAAGAAGTCGATTGTTTTGCGTTAAAAGCAATAAAAATTGGTTGCGCTTTGTCGTTTAATCTAGCTCCTTTGCTCGACTCTTTTAGGAACAGATTTTTGTGAATCGTCAAAAACAAAGTTTAGGTTTGCAATTAACATCTATTCCAAATTTCACAAATAATTTTCAATTTTTATTGATTATATCATATTAGTCACACTTATATCAAACTACAACGAGCAAAGTAAAAAAAAAACACAAATAAAAAGAAAACACAATAATACAAAAAAAATGCAATTATTATGAACCGGCAGTGAAAACCGGCTCCGTTAGTGATGTCTCGTGTTGTGAAAGAGCACACATTGATTTACAGTTATCCTTGCTATGGACTTGCACACTCACACCTTCATATTCCCAGCTCTATTCGTCGTCTCTTTATTTCGATGTTCTCGCCTGGGCTTAGCTGTAAAAGGAATTTTTCTTAGCATAAATAAGCTGAAGAACCAAAACAGAGAGGATTTCATTTCTTAGGCTCACCTGCAACAGATCAGCTATCATAAATCCAGCTTTACGCCGCTTTGGCGCTGAAGCTTTGGAGGGACTGTCGGATGATATTAGATTAGGATCTATATTTTCCCTGCAGGCCGGTTCTGGTGATAGCACTGGTGGTGGAGAAGAGTACAGCTGGCTACAAAAACAATTGAAAGGACTTTTTTGTATAATAAGAGCGTTTGACTCATGTATAACAATATATTATAAGCTGAAATAAGATTACATTCATTCTTATTATAAGATACTATTAATAAAAACCATTTCGAATTCATTAATGGACTTGAAAATTATTTTGTTGAACAAAATCATTAAATACCCTATGTGATCATCATTTCTTCCGAAAGTGTTACCCTTTGACTATAAGTGTGGTAAATCCTCACCTTGGCTCTCTAATATTTTCTGTCTCCTCTATCGTTTCCTTGGCAGCTCCAAAACAACGCTGAAATAATTTTCCATTGTAGTAAATTTGCAGGAGCTCGGTTTGACAATTTGATTTCTACTTGATCTAGGTATATGTTTACCTTATACCAGAAATCCACCTCTTCCGCGAATTCTGAGCTCCTATTGATTATCTTGTCCGAATTATCCTTAAGTAAATGGAATTTATGGAATAAAATGGAATCTTTGCGGTGAGATTAGCAGCAGAGCTGGGAATGCAATTTAAAATGGAACAGCGGATCACTTTTACTCTCAGCAGGAAGAAAATCAACAGATTGTAAGCTTCTTAAGAATATCTTTTAATCTCGAAATCCTTGGAAATATTAATCGCAAATATTTCCATGACACATATTTGGTTCCAGATGTAATCTATCGATTTTTCTCTTTTTGTAAAATAGTCAAACCTGATGTATTCTTCGCATATGACTGGTCACATGGAATTTATCGTAGAATGATGAATGCGAACAGTGGGGACATTGAAAGAGTGGCCTTCGCACATGATGTTGCAACAAATGACGTCGTGGACCTGAGATAAACATACTACTCTCAATATAAAGTGGAAAAATAAAATCTGTGAGACCAACCTTGACTTCTTTTTCCCTCCTTGTTGATGTTGATTTTGCAGATTGTACAATAGGTCTTCTTATAACCTCGTATTGAATTACGGCTTACAGGGGTGCTCTCCACGGCCGACGATGTTGAAGAGAATCCAGAATCTTCCGACTGGAAAATATTTTTGTATTAGCTGTTAATATTGGTAAGATGGAGGACGGAATGCTAATAGTCTTAAAACATCACGCATAACATGATGAAGATAGAGAATTTTGGAAATAAAAGCTAATACGAACAGATGAGAGCGTCCCTACTTGGAAGCACTTTGTATTACAATCTACTTGTTTAGATAAGAAAGCTCAAATGCGAAGAAAAGCTCGACTAAAGAGAAGTCTGTTGTGATTTCTGGCACTTTAAAAGAAAATCAAATCTTGCTTGGATCGACGTAATCTCGTTTCTGTGACTAAACAATGGACTGTCGAATCTAGAAATCAACTACAATTTGAAAAGTTCAATTGACATTAATTCTGATTTTGGAGATAGAAAACTTTGTGTAAAAAACTCTAGTAATAGATAATGTTTGTATGCAGGCGCTGTTCTTAGACTGGGAAAATTTCAAAACTTACCAGAGTTGTGTTGTATGGCAAAAGACATGGTGGAGGGGAGCAGCGGTCTGTCGATGGGTTCTCAGTTTCTTTTTCCGCTAACGATGTTGAGGGATCAGAGGAATTCGTCGAATAGCTATTAATAAAGTTTTCGTATCGTGGAAAGTAGGGTGTGAACGGCGAATAGACTGCAGAGATTGGAGGTAAGATAGGATAGAAGCCTGGATGTGGTGTCGATGTGTGAAAACCTAAAATGGAAAAATTAATGTTAGAGTCCGTTGGTGCTGCTTATCCTAAAACAGTTGTAATATGTTGATCTTGAAGATTTTTTCTTAATCCTATATTAATGAAGTACTAAAATTTAGGCACTATTTTGTTTAGAGTTGTTATTTCACAATGCTTTCTTTT